GAGGGTGGCAAAAATTCCTGCCAGGTGATTGCCTTTTCCCAAGCTGAGACCCCTGCCCATCCACATGGCCTGCCTAGAGGCTGGATTTGAATCCCCAAGGCCATAAGCTGTGCTCCCCTCTTCCTCCCTCCTTATAAACTGTGTTGTGCCTTCCTCCTCCCCAGGAGGATTCTGGTGGCCCCATGGTATGCAATGGAGAGCTTCAGGGAGTTGTCTCCTGGGGCATTGGCTGTGCCCTGAAGAACAAGCCTGGTGTCTACACCAGGGTCTGCAACTTCGTGGACTGGATTCAGGAGACCATGGCTGCCAACAACTAAAGATCCCACCTGTCCCCCTGCCATCACTATGCTAATAAAGTGACACTGATCTGAAAGCCTATGTCTGTATCTGCTTCCCTGCCTGGCTCTGGGCAACACCCTCCCACCGAGGTCAGCTGGGTCTGGCCGGCCCTTATACCAAGTGCCCCACTTACCAAAGAAGCTCCCCGGCATATTAGTTTAGCAGCAAATAAAAAGATGGAATTCAAAATCATAAGCAGGAGTGAGGAGAGGTTGTTTTCTAGAAGGAAATACCTTTCCTAAAGGCTGTCAGTGGTTCCTTGACCTTGGCACTGGAGTGCAGTGCTGGAGTGTGCCCGTGGGCACAATGTGCCGGGCCCTTTCCTCACTTTACCCGTACCCAGACTGAACACACCTGGGGAAGCACCTGTGCATCCACCTTGGCCTCTTCTGAATCCCTCTGTCACGTGCACTTAGCCAGCGTGTGCTCCCCAAGGGGCCCTACTTCCTGACAATCTGCCCATGTGTCTGGGGGGAAAAGAGGCTTCCCTGGGTCTCCATCCTTCAAGCTCCAGAGAAGTTGGCCTTTTGTGCATCTCACCTGATGATACCAATACATATATTTACTGTACGGAGCACTTACAGACATTTCATGGTTGTTTTACCCTCCCCTCTGTAGTGGATATCATTTCTGTGGTACAGACTAGAAAGCAGAAGTTAGTTTACCCAGGTCCCTCATCCAGCAAGTGATAGATCAGGGGTTCAACTTCTTATTTGCCTGGCCCCAAAGCCATGCTCACTCCTCCCTGCCTCACGGTCTTTCCTCATGCTACTGTCGTCCATCATTTTAGACCTCTTCTGAGTTTGTCTCAGTTGCTGTGGTAACACTGCAACTATCCTTAACAAGAGTCAGATTTCCCAGATCTCTAACCTTTCCCGCAATGAGCAGCAAGTTGCCCCATTCCTGCCCTGACACAGATCCGTTCATGGATTTCTTTGCATGTGCTGCCCAGGAAGCAGGTGGGGGGCCCTGAGAACAGTTGGAGGATTTATTCTCTGGAAATGGCATGCCTTGATTTCAAGCATTTTGTGTCTATCTTGATAGGACCCACCTCCGGCTTCTCAGTCTTTACTCACCCTAATGCCATTGTCACTTAGAACCTTTAACTTCTGGCCACAAAGGTGGAACAAGTAGTGACACCTCCACGTGAAGAATGTTTCCAACATGGAATTATTATCTGGTGCTAACATAAGCTGGACTCAGAGCAGCAGCCTTTCTGTCTCAATGACAGAGCAGTTCTGAGGGAGACAGATGGTTCTGATAATTCTACACCTACAGGTCTTTACTTGGTAACCTTGGCATGTAAGCCCTAGGTTTCTGAGACTCAGCATAATACCTGTGAGCACACGTCTGTACTATTTTCACCTCTTGAAACACACATTTCCTTGTTTTCTTCTTCCATACCAACTTCCAGGGCCTTCTCCATCCTCTAATCCTTTCCACCTCACCTCTCACACAATGAAACATCCAGCAGAGAGTTGGAGGATGGAGATGGGAGATGTAGAGATGAAGTGGAAAATGCAATGAATCACTCGAGCACTGGGGCAATGAGTGAAGGACACTTGGATGAACTTACACACAGTCTATGAATGTCTTGAACCAACATGTAGGCATGTGTTAGTTCATAACAATTGGTTTTTAAGACTGTGCATTTGCAGAGACAGTGATGTCACTGTGGGGACTGCCTTGTGAGGACACCCCTTCCCTCTGCTCATGCTCACAAGGACCCTGACCTGGTGAACCTCTCATTCCTGTCCTGACCCTGCCATGGGCACCAGGCTCCTCTGCTGGGTGACCCTCTGTCTCCTGGGGGCAGGTGAGTCTAAGAACACTAAGATCCCTGCATTTTATCTTTCCAGTGGTTATGCCAATCATTTATATTTCCTTTGTCTTTCCCCGCCACAGAACTCACAGCAGGTGGAGTTACCCAGTCTCTCAGACATAAGGTCATAGATAAGAGTCAGGCCATGGCTTTGTGGTGCAATCCCATTTCTGGCCACCAAACCCTTTGCTGGTACCAGCAGATCCCAGGACAGGGCCTGGAGCTGCTTGTTCGCTTTGAGAATGAAGATGCAGTGGATGATTCACAGCTGCCTAAGAATCGATTTTCTGCAGAGAGGCCCAAAAGAGCAGACTCCACTCTCAAGATGCAGCGTGCAGAGCTGGGCGACTCGGCTGTGTGTTTCTGTGCCAGCAGCTTAGCCACAGCATCACAGAGACATTTCCTTCTTGTGCACAAAGCATCAGGGTTCTCTCTCAGTCCCACTCACAGAAGCTCCGAACAGAGGCTTTACCATGTTCATCACACATGGGGGAAAAGTGGGTCTGCAGAGACAAGCAATGATTTATATGAAAGGAGGCCATGAATTATTTCCTGAAACATCAGAACTCAAAAGCTTTGAAAATAATGATGACTTGGGAATTTGAAGCACTTGTTGGTGACAATTTAAGGCTGCAAAACTGAAAGTGACATGGATCATGGACTCAGCCCTCATGGGCTAGTGATGAGTTGTTGTCTTATAAAAATAGACAATCGCCGACAATGTACAATAAACCTTAATAATAACCCAGGTGGTGATTCTAGGAGAGTAACAGGCTCTCGCTCTGTGGTTGTCTTTACCATCTGAATGATTTTAATTGATACCCTTCACTCTCTAGCCCCCTCTCTGCCTTTCTTAGCAAGTGTTCTGCATCAAGGTCTCAATGCATAGTATGTGTTTGGAAAACATTTTTTTTCCTGTTTTGTGGGAATTGTTGATAGTAATGATGTTGTTGATGATGCTGATGGTTTCAATTATTTTATTTGGTCCTTTTCCTACTTCAGAAAAATACACACAAGTGGATATCCTGGCAACCAGTCCCAAATCTTATCTTAAAACTAATTCTCCGGAGAAGTCTAACTCTTCAATAGAACCTGCACAGCTCAACAGTATATCCAGACCAGAGCCAAGCAGTTCAGGGTGTTGAGGAGATTTCCAGCTGTCTGCCTTAGTATATCTAAACAGTTCCTTAATGCATTAAAATATTTCTTAGTAAAAACTTCTGAAATGATCAGTTGGTCTTGATCCCATTATCGCATCTGACAGTACATTCATTGTGTTGAGGTCCATGCCCTGTACTCTATCTTCTGCCTGGATTCTCTAAGACTAGAAGTCATCCTGCAAATCTGGTTGGAACTATTTGGAAAGCAGCATACTGAGATTTTCCTGAAGGTATTATCACTGCTACTCAGCCCCTGCTGGCTTCACTTCCTCCCTATCCAACTAAGACTGCAAGTCATAATACGTATGTGTCCATTTGCTCATTGCATATCTACTCATCTCCTCTGCCCATGTCTCCACCCAATTTACTTGTCTGACAAACTTCCGTCATTGTGGAGCACAACTATCCACTGTCTCCTTGCCAGAAGTTGTATGTGGTTGCTTTTCCAATCCAGTATGTCACCCGGCATAATTATTAATCCCCTAATAACGTCTTCCTAGATTACCTTTGATCTCTTTAAACACAGGAAACAGTTTTTTAGAGTCTGATAATTTTCACATTGGAGATCTCTGGGGAATTATTTTCATTGATTTTCTTTTTCTGCTGCTTCTGGGTCATGATGTTTGTGCTTTCATGATGTTTGTATCTTTTCTTATTAATCTGATTATCTTTGACTTTGTTCCAGACACTGGATTTTTATATGTA